ATCTATAAGCCTCAGAGGTAGAGACCACGCCGGTGTTGTGCGCTGCCGTATTCCAGCCCTGACACATGGGGAGCAACATGGAAAGGTATTGGAGAACCTTCCCACCCTGCCAGCTACCGGAAACCCCCGAAGTGAGTCCCGTCTCCTGCCAAGAGTTATGGCTCATGGCAGGAAGAACGACTGGCAACGAGACAGAGGTGCAGGCAGCGATCTGGATGGGCAGTGCTCTGCAGGGAATAGAAGGCCACCAGGCGCCTGGAACCTCGGCGCTCACTCCTTACGCTGTGCAAGGGCAGTGGGTGGAGGGCCGTGGGTGTGTCTGGGCACAGGACTGGTGACGCTGCGGGCCGGGCCAGGAAGGACCGAGCGGCCATACCAGGCCGAGGCAGAGGGCCAGGAAGGGGAGCGCGGTCTCCCCAGGTGCCTTACTCAGCAGGTCTCTTCTGGCCGGTGGGCCGCTGCAGCCTTTAGCCCCAGGGCTCCTAGCGGGGCCACAGAGCCCCGCGGAGGTCTGCTTTCGGGTCTGGCCCAAAGGTCAGGCCCAGCCTGAGAGTCTCCTAGACTCCAATCATAATCCGTGATCCCCAGCAGGAGGGCCCATAACCAGCACGTTGGGTGGACCTCGGTATGATCTCGCATGACCTTCCGGTAGCCTTGTAAAATTAGGGTTAGTTTATAAAGGAATAAGATTCTAAGAACTTAAGAAACTTGCTTACAATGAGTCATTAAAAGACGGCGTGGACTCCGATTTCGAACAGAATCTTTGTTTCTGTTGGAACCTAAGGGTGACCTGTTTTTGACAATAAAGCAGAAAAGGAAATGAAATCCTTTGTCCAGCATTCTGGGATCAACTCGTGTTTTATCCTCTTCCAAATGAGAGAGCTCTGCGTCCCGCTAGGCCCCGCCAGCTCCCTGCGAAGGGTGTTTGCTGACGCAAGCGCTGGGGAACACCGAGCGCCCACTCCCTGGTGGCCCCAGTCCTCTCCTTCACAACCCCTGCTTTTCCTTTGTGTGTACCTGCTGCTCTGTGAGACCTCGGGGTCTGCACGGCCTCGCCGCTGGCCTGGCCTTCCATCCTCAGCCTACCCTGCTCCCTGTTTTTAGACACAATTGCCCCTTATGTCTTCAAGTCCTTCCAGAATGTTCCAACTGCCATCCGAGCTCCCACACACTCCTCGCAGGAGCTCCCCCGCAGCACCCAAGCAGGCTTCCTTTTGTTCCCGAGGGGCATTTTGAAAGTGGGGGTCCAATCGTTTCATTTAGACAAAGGGCACCACGACATTTCTGTGCCGTTCTAAGGAGCTGTGTCCTTCAGAGGTACTGACATTTTGTCCTTCCCATCACTGTCATTTATCCCCTTCCATTCGCTGAGGACTCGAGCACCAGAGTGTGTGGCCCTTTCCCAGCGCACCTTCCTGTGTGACTGCAGAATGTGGCCTGCTCTCCCGCCCGCCCGCCCGCCCGCGGCCTGCCTGCCCCGCACACTCGTGCCCTCCCCCGGCGGCCGGCCTGGGCAGCTCCGCGGGAACAGCAGAGCCCTTCCTCGTGCGCTTGCAGCGCCGGTACCTGCACGCGAGAGCTGCGTGTGCGTGCTGGGTCTCACCCCCCTGCACGCAGCTCTGCATGTGTCGCGCGCCACGTGCTCGCAGAATGAAGGCAGAGAGCAATCACGATTAGACCAAGGGAGCAGGGGCCCAGCTCAACAGAGACAGTGGTGAGCAGCCTGGGCCAAGGTCCTTGCTGCAGGCTTTCGTTGAAATCAGCCGCCAGCTACACAGGCGTGGGGCTGGGGTGTGGCTTGTGGACGGTGCTCCGGATTATGTACTTATTATTTTTCTAGTGAATTATGTTTATTGGTACACTTTGGGTATACTTACTGCTCACATGCATCCTAGGGAACTTGTACTCGTATGTGACACAACGATTCTTTTCTTTTTCTCCTACCCTCCTGTCAACCCTCCTTCCTCTCCTGCATTTATAAAAGCTTATTTCCATTTTTCCCCTTTTATGGCCACCTTTTCTTTCCCTTCCCTTCCCTTCCCTTCCCTTCCCTTCCCTTCCCTTCCCTTCCCTTCCCTTC